ATTTTCTCAATTTTCTTATAAATTCAAACTTTTTAAATGTTTAGACCTTCATACATATATATATATATATATATATATATATATATATATATATATATATATATATATAATTTTTTTTAAATAAACTCGTATATCATATAGTATACGGATCTCAACTAGTCATGACTAATATATATAAACACTCAAAAATATTTATTAACGGTACTAAATATCAACAATAAGATAATTGTAAATATATTTAATAAGTAATATCGGATGCCCTCTAAATAATAAATATAGCTACTCAAAAGTTTGAAAACTATGTACCATGTTTTGTTTCATACGGAAATTTGGGAGTTGTCATGGAGTGTAAACGACAAGTCGATCATCATGATTATTTTCAATGAAACTAATGGTCCATATTACAAGAAATTGTTATTCGCTTTTATTCAAACAATAAAGTAGTATCAAGTTTTGTTTCATATCTAGAATTTGATGGATCCAGTTTAAAAGTTAAAACTAACCCTTAACGACATAATTGAAGTCTCAGTCTCCGCAACAACTCCAATAAGCCCACTAGGCTAGTCGCCATTGTCTCATTATCGGAGCTCTAGTCTTGACATAGCATCGTCCTTTGTTATATATGCTTGGAATCTTGGATGCAGGATGTTTAAGTTTGTACCTTACGCATATATACATATACATACATGTTTATTCATTAAAATTTATATTTTGGTACGACTCAACCCAAAATGACGACTCACACTAAAATTTCTTATTCCTTGACCTGTTACCTTATCTCACACGAACCATTCGTTTTCATCCCTAATTTGTAGCATTTATTTTTGACAAAAAAAGATTTTTAGTCCATGTGTTTATGTAGTTTTGAATCATGTCCAATATTTAAAATTTTAACTCTTGTTGTCCCTGAAAAATTTACTTGTCACGTTTTTGGTTCCAGGGACACAGTTAAAGTTCAAAAAATTGGATTTTTTTTTGGAACGGCGGAATATTTTATTAAATAACTAGCAAGAAGCTAGAAAGAAATCATGACAATAACAAAGTGGCAGAAGCCGGATTATGAAGCCAATAACTCCAACTAATCTTGGCTTTACTACATCTGTTAGAAATCCAAAAGAACGATCTATAAACAATATCATCAAAAAACATGGATTTCATAGGCATAACCGTTCCAAAAACTGTCGAATTACGAAAATTCCACATACACCAGAAAGATGTCATAACCACAACATCAAATGCCTTTCGTTGACCCTTTCTCAAAGCAACAGAATCTGACCACTTAATAAGGGTGTGAACGTTAAATTGGGTCGGAATCTGAATTCCCCACCAAATAGCAATGCGCGGCCAAATCTCCATCAACTCAATACATTCTATAAAAAGGTGATCAATAGATTCCACCGAACGAGAACATATAGGGCATAAAATCGAGTCCACCATGATTCCCCTGTGAGATAATCTCTCTCTAGTAGGAATACTGAGTAACTTAATCCTCCATAAAAGAATGTTGATCTTGATGGGAACCCAATTATTCCACCTAGTCTCACCACCTCCAAAATGAAGCATACTCCCATCTAAGAACCAACGAGCAGAGGAGACAGAAAAAGTATCTGAAACATCAATAGACCAACCCAATCTATCAGGAATCGATTGCAATTGGAATTCCTGCAAAAGAGAAATAAAAGCATCCCACTGCTCCTGCTCAATACCACCTCTAGGACTACGTCTGAAAGTAACAGGATCCCACCCCAATGTTAGACGATCTCTAACTGTAGCTTGTCTAACAGTATCTAAAACAAAAATTCTATGAAAAGTTTCGGCAAGAGGGGCCTCTCCAATCCACAAATCCTTCCAAAAATATGTATGGTTCCCATCACCAACCCTGATAGGAAAATAGGACTGAATATCGATTCCCTTCTCCCGCAATTGAGTAAATATACGAATCACTCCACACCAAGGTCCCGATCCGGATCTCCTAGGGGACATAGACTTGCAACCTCCATCTGAGCCATATAACGATTTGATAATCTTAACCCATAACAGATCATGACAATGATAGAGTCTCCACCACCACCGTAGCATCATGGCCCTATTAAAGGAATATAAACTCCCAATACCCAAACCACCCTCTAATTTTGCCGCTAAAACTCTATCCCATCTGACCCAGTGCATACGTCTCTCATCCAAGTCTGCTCCCCAAAAGAATCTAGCTCGCATCGACTCTAAAGACTTTAGAACCGAAACAGGAGCAAGAAAAATCGACATTAGGTAACTACTTAAGGAACCCAGAACCGACTTAACCAAAGTAAGCCGACCACCAAAAGAAAGGCATTTAGCCTTCCAGTCTGACAATCTGCTTTGAAACCGATCAAACACAGGAGACCAAGCAGAGATACGAGACATATTCTGACCAACATGAATACCAAGGTGGATAAAAGGAAGCTCAGAAACTGCACACCCAATCATGTCTGCAACACTAGAGACCTGAGATAAAGGAATCCCCACACCAATCAATTTGCTTTTATGCAAATTGATTTTAAGACCCGAAGCCATAAAGAAACAACGAAGGATACGAATAAGACGCTTCACATTCTCAGGATCCCAAGAAGAAATCAACATAACATCATCAGCATATATAAGATGAGAAATTTCAATGCCTGAAATAGAGATTCCCCTAAACACGTTAGCCATCTGAGCTCTAACCAAAGCCACGTGAAGACCCTCCATCGCCAATATGAAAAGGAAAGGAGAAAGAGGATCTCCCTGTCTCAAACCACGATGAATCTGAAATTCATCGGTAGGCGAACCATTGACCAAAACCGAAGCCCTCGAAGATTTCAATAACTCCATAATCCAACCACACCATAACGGACCAAACCCCATAATCTGCGTGATCTCTAAAAGGTAGTCCCATGACAGGGAATCATAGGCCTTCTCAAAATCTACCTTAAGAAGCATCACGGAATTCCCGGAAGATTTACTCCAAGCCACAACCTCATTAAGGAGAAAGGGACCATCAAGAATTTGTCTACCTTTGACAAAAGCAGACTGCTCCAAACTAACGATACTAGCAATGACCTGCACCAATCTATTAGCTAAAAGTTTACCAATAATTTTATATTGGCACCCAATTAGACTAATAGGTCTAAAGTCTCTCGGAGTCTTCGGGTCTCGAACTTTGGGGATAATAGTAAAAAAGGAAGCATTACATCCCTTCGGAATAAAAGAATGATGAAAGAAATGCATGATAAATGCCTCAACGTCCTCCGCTATAAGATCCCAGTAACGTTTGAAAAACCCAAAAGTAAATCCATCGGGTCCCGGAGCCTTAGAAGACCCACAATTCCAAACAGCCCTTTTAATCTCCTCACGGGTAAAAGGGGACTGCAAAAAGTCAATCTGATCAGTAGATAAAGTACTAAAATGATTGGCCCCTGTCAAAGGGAGGCATTCCCTACTCTCCGAGAAAAGAGCCTGATAATAAGCATGAAATTCCTCCTTAATCCGAACAGGATTATCAATCCAAGCTCCGTCAATCATTAAACCCCGAATAGCAATTTGACGCCTCTTACGATTAATGATACCATGAAAGTAACCCGAGTTCTCATCACCCTCGATATTCCACTAAATCTTTGCCTTTTGAAAAATATCTTACTGAGAAGAATGATCAAGATCCGCCAATTCTTTAAGCAAAGATACCCTCTGCTCTCTCAAAGTAGCAGAGCCATCATCACTCATCAAGCGACTATCAATCGACTCAATCGAATCTTGGATGTTTTTCTTTTTAGTAGCAACCAGATCCCGACTATTGTTGTTCCACTTCCTTAAATTAGATTTAAGAAGCTGTAATTTCTTCTTAAAAATAACCCAAGGGTTATCTAAAACCACCCCGTTCATCGGCTGCATCAAGAATCTCTCACTATATCATCAAAACCAGCCATCTCAAACCAAGAATGAAAAACCCGAAAGGGAGTAGGACCATAATCAACACAATGCTCCAATAATAAAATAGGACGATGATCCGGAATCTTTTTTTCCAAGACGAGACCCATAAGATGGGGGAATGATGAAAAAATACCTTCCGTAACCAGAAATCTATCGAGCTTACTAAATTTAGAACCCCATTTATCGCTCCAAGTGAAACGCGGGCCACCTAACGGAACATCGACGAGGTCAAGATGATCAATAAAATCATTGAAGGAATGCGCATTAGCCGGATAAAAGGTAGATCCCAATCTTTCAGATTCATCTCACACTTCATTGAAATCCCCCATAATAATGCATTCGCCCGGAAAAGAAGAGATAATCTAAGTAATATCATTGCAGAGTTGTCTTTTACAATCAGCGGCATGCGGGGCATAAACTACAATAAATAAAACTTCTAGGCCCGAATTAGTCCAAATTGCCTCAATAGCAATGAACCAATTCGAAATAAACGTCCTTTTATGAGAAATGCAATTCGGGTCCCAAATAGCAAGACTATCGCCCGAGGCACCACGAGAAGGAGAGAACACATGCATAAAAGAGGTATTTCCCCAAAAAGATCTAACCGAGAGCAAGTCAATTTCTTCCATCTTCATTTCTTGAACAGCTAAAAAGTTGACTTTATTAATATGACAAAGTTTTCTAATCCAAACACGTTTATCCTTACAACCCGCCCCTTGGACATTAACTGAGAGACAATTCATCAAATCTTATATCTCTCATCGTGACTTGCTACAATATCTTTCAAACGATCAAGACACCCATCTAAATTATAGCCCATAGCTTCTCCCATTTCTATAGTTTTTACTTCCATAATAAACGAATTATTATTATAAGAAGTTCCAGAAATACTATGATTACCGCCATTAAACGAGTAGCATTTATTAGAAAAACCCGGGGGATGAGTAAGCTCATCCTCAGAAACGTTAACTCCCGAAACTCTACCAAAACCTCCCGAAAAGCCCAAAGAACCGGTCACAGAATGAGGACTGGAAGCTTGAGCCAGACGGAATTGACCCTCAGCAGTTTTTTTTAACCTGATTAGTATCAGGTTCGCTCGTCTTCGTCTGAACATCAAGAAGGGGGCTGCATGCGACTGTCGGATCTGCATCGGGAGCATATTCTGAAGTTGCAGCTGCCCATCGGTCAGAAAAAGCCTGGTGCATTGGAACCGATGTAGGGGCTGTTGACATGGCTGGCGAAATAGGACCATCGAACTGATTGCATTGCTCGCTAACACTCTTTGCATCCTTTCTATCATCAAATTTCCTTGGGGATAAAAAATTAGATTTTTTATTTTTCATTTCAGCTTTCTCAAGTTTTTCCAATGTGTCATAGATTCCAAACGGGTCCTTAGATACTTCATCATTCTCATTTAGAGAACCATTACTTCCTTCTTCATCGAACTGACCATGTCCCTCATCTTCCCCATCAACGGATTTCATGAAGTCACAAGAAAAGGACGGAGTCCAGCCAGATGCTTCTTTAATTCTAACCGGGAATATGATACCATCTACACTAACCTTCACCACTTCAGAAATAATACCAAGATAAGAAATCAAAATACATACTCGACTTTTATATACATCTTCACCAAGGTTATCATCTAAATGTACCACACAACCCCATTTGGCCAAAATCTCCTTAAAGGCCAACTTACTCCAAGCCCGAAGAGGTAGACCTTCTATATCAACCCATACTATGCGATCTTGTGGAACAAAATTTCTATCCCATTGTCGTTTTTCTGTAATCCAGTGACTAACCGCATCACTTGTTAAGAAGTTTTTACATGCTTCTTTAGAGGTGAATTCAAACATCACCCAAAGGCCCCCCACATATCGAATTTGGAAATCCACAAAACCTTCATCGTAACATAACATCCCAAGATTCGGTAAGGTAGGGAAGTCTCTTGCCTTTGCTAGACATGCAAGCTTTTTATTTTCAATTATAAAATCCCCAGAGTTAAGAATAATAGCAGCATTAACTGGTTCTTTATTCCTTTTGTCTTGACCTTTTACTACACTTGCATAAGAAACAACAGGAGCTTCAACTTTCTCTATTTTTGAGTGGATTTTGTGTACAGAAGAATTTTTTTTTCAACATGTGGAACCGATGCATATAGTTTATGAAAGCCAAACCATACATCACAGAGACTCTTAACCATACGATCAACGTTACAATTACCCAAAAATCTGACAAAGCCAAACCGTTTCCCCATTCGAGACTTCTTATTAGAAATAAAAACATCAACAATCTTACCCACGCGACCACAAACACGCCACAAATCAGAAGGTAGAACAGTTTCTGGGAAGTTTGTAATGTAGAAGGATTGACTATCATACCTTAAATGATGTTGATCCCGTTAAAAAAAAAAACTATCTATCCACAAGAACGAAAAATATAATTTTGTCTTTATAATTCACTAACGGTTGTAAGTTTGCTGACAAGGTTAGTGACAAAATTGATATTAGAAGTTAGGATAAGTTAATCCTAAAAGACTATGAACATGTTTTACTATTTGGACCCACTACTAAATAGCAAGGATAGTTGGGAAGTTCTAAGAATAAAGGTATAAGTTAAGAGTCAATGTTATAAATGGGCAACAATTATTTAGAATATTCAAAAAAAGAACTCTTATATTTTGAAACTTTCCAAAAAAGATTACATGGGTCAATTGTCCTAAAAAAGATCGAGCAGGAACACGGTACTTTTCTGTCTATTATGAAACATTTGGACAACTAGAAATGATGAGGTTTTCAAAAACATCAATGTATCTCCAACAAAAGTAGCTGATAACATCATTTCTCCGTCATGTACTTGGTGCAAGCAGATGAGTTCTCATTGATGCGGAAGTTGGGTTGAATGGAGATGTCCATCATTTCTCTGTCATGTACTGTTTTATTTGGTCGCGTTAAGTTTTTTGCTAACCGTGGACCTTTTTTTATGTTATTTGACGTTTTCAAAAAAAAAAAAAACAGTTATGTTATACCTCTTATGATTATTTGATGTGTGCATATTTTGAACATCTTAAATAGTTTGTTATATATTTTCAATATTAACCATGACTTATACGAGGTGTTGTTTGTTTTTTTGACCTCTTTTGTCTACATCATGCATATAGTATGCATATAGTAGCACCCGTAGAGAGTTTGTTTTTTTAGAAGTTTGAGACCTAAAAATGTACACACATAATACTCTTTTTGAAGTAGATGTAGACTAAATTCTTGTGCCCTTAAAAAATAAGAAAACACCCCAATGTATCCTTCTTACTTTCTCATATCCTATGCCCTTAAAAAATAAGAAAACACCCCAAGTATCGATTATTTGTACATGATTTCAATTTTGTTGAACATTCATTTTAAAAAGAATAAAAAAAAAACTATACCTACAAGATTTCATTTTTTTTCATTTTCGTAGTCCTTAAAAGGAAAACACGTAGTCAAGAAGGTTTGTTTCTAATTTTGACCATTGTATTAAAAAAGAATTTCCAGATTTTAAAAATTAAATATTAAAACCATTAAAGTTTTTTTTTTTTTTTTTTTTTTTTTTTTTTTTTTCAGAAATTAAAATAAAATATAGACTAAACTTATTAAAAGTTAGTTATCGACTATTTAGCTTACAATATTCATTCAAAGTATTTGATTTCAAAATCAAAACCCCAATCGTCTTCTTTAGCATAAAAAAACACGGTAATCGTTTTGAGCACCACTCACATGATTTACACATCATAGTTTGACAAATGGTGTGTTTTGCACATTCAAAAAAGAGTCTTACTCATTCGTGACATTAAACCGGATGTTATATTAGCCCACTGGATTTTTTTTATGACAAATACTATTTTTTTTTTAGTTTACAAATAGGATATAGTATATGTTATCATCTTATATCAAATACATAAGTAGAAAGACGGATTATAATGATTTAACTTTACTATATGCACATGAGCTAGATAATATGTACATTCAAGCTTTGGTCGAGTAAATCTTATATTTGAACTGAATTTTCTGATAAAAATTTGAATTAAAATCTTATAAACTCGATATCTTATTTGTTATACATTTAGCAGGTCCACGACAGTTGACCGACGGAACCTCTTCATTGATAGCAAACAAACCACATATCATTTTAGACATATAACTTTGAAACTTTGATGGGTCAAAGTTATTATATGGTCTACATGTCACCATCCATCGACATGGTCAAAACTCAAAAGCCACTAGCGTTGATGACATTAGCATTTATCTCCTGCAAATACTCTTTTAGTTGTCATGGAACAGCTCTTTAACATTTTTAAATGTCAATGGGATCGATAAAGTGAATTAAAAAGGGTTACGTGGTTAAAATATTTGAATGATTTAATTAGTTTTATCTATAATTTGTTATGGATATTTGTAACAGCTTTGGGTCCCATATGTGTTTATACTTTATACGATATTTTGATATGTGAGGATCATTGCACATATTTTCTTTGAGTAATATATGGTGTTGTCTTGCTTGATAAAAAAGGAAATGAGTATTGTAACATCAATCGGCCTACGTGGCAATGACATCAATACAAGGTTAGTGGTAAATCTATAGAAACGACGTTTCTATAAAGTATATGAAGAAGTCTTTTGATACGACGACAAACATATAACGTCCCTACATGGTTGGGTGGAGCCTTTTGATAATATTGAAAATTTATCTCTTGATTATGACCTTATAATCTCATCTAATTATAAATGATAAACCAATGAAATTTGTGATTGTTCTTCATATGCTATTTGTGCTTGAACTATGTATTATGGAACAAGTCAATATGTATTGTTGTTCATTTGACCCTTTTAATTTGACATTACAATATCCTATCGTTTAATGTTCCATTATCCCCAAAAGGTAGTTAGTTGTGAATACTTTCGGGCTTAAGTCACTAATAATTACAAATGTACTTGAATATTTTAAATTCAATAAAATCTAACAAATATATAATATTTTTTTATTTCATGTATATTATAGTTTTTTCTGAGTCAATAATTTAAAAATAACTAAGATACCCCTACACGTTCCATGCTATATAACATACGTGATTAATTGTGTTGGGAATGGAAGATGTCACACTAGTAGTCATTATATGTTTTATTAATGTTGAAATAGATGATATTTTGAGACATGTTTACCTTAATGAAGATAAGGCATGCATTTTTGAATGTCTCTCTTTACACAATATTGCTCTATGCTTAATTCTTAGTAATAAACACCCTAAAATTAAATGTAACGTCGATAAAGTGATTACCGGATTTATGTAGTTTTACAAAGAATTATTTAAGGGGGAGTGATTAATATAACCACTTTTTAGTGGTTTTTAAAATAAAAAAATAAAAAAAATAACTACTTCAATTATTTTTTTTGAAAAATGACCATTAATAGTTCCGGACCCGATTTCTGAAATGGGCAAACGGTAAAATGAACCGACCCGATAATATGGTCTCTCCCCCTATATATAATAGTTCGAACTCACTTTCCGTTCATACTTTATTTTGAACTCACTTTCATTTCGGATAACATTATTTCGGACAACATCAAACTCAAACAATGTCTTCTTCTAGCAAATGAAGAGATTCAGTTTTTTTGGGTATGTGTCGATTCTTTTTATAATTAAATGCTAAAATGTAGATGTTTTCGTTTTTTTGTATGAGTTGATGCGATTGCATAGATATTTATTGTTTTTATTTGAATTTTAGCAGTTTTTAGGCTATTGTAATATTATATGTAAGTATACGTGTGCAATATAACAACTAATCCTTAAAAAAATGTACTTTTGAACATGTCCGGAACAACTCTGGAATATGAAAAACATGTCTGAAAACTGTAGAACAACTCCGGAATGCGAAGAATTGTTCTGGAATGGTATTCCAGAATACATTTTTTCCGGAACATAGCCGTTGTATTCTAGAATGTTGGCCCGAAATTTGGTCCACAACATAGTTATTTTAGTCCGACAATTGCCAAAATCCCTAATTATAATTCATTTCATTGTAGCATGAAAAAACATACGAAACAGTTTGTCACTACAACCTAAAAACTTGAACTCGGCTGGGAAATCATGACCCCTTTACACACACCAGCATGTGCGACCATGTTTAGGGCGTCATGTTTTGGTCCTTATCTTAACATGTTGATGGGCGTCGAATGTCACCCTTTACTATTTCATCACCTTATATTCAAGGAAGTTAGTACCAGTCCTTGGGTTGACCTCGAGGAGCTACTATTTCCAGTATACGCCTACCAGTTATGCTTTGACGGGAGAGCTTTTTATCTTGTTACC